AGGTCATAGAGAGAGAGAGAGAGAAAGAGGGAATGCAACCGGTACACTGCTCAGAGGATCTGGTTTCAGGCGCTGAAGGGCCAAGCCAGAGGGTCAGAGCATGGGAACAGGCAAAAAGAAGGTCCTGTGTCAATAAGGGACAGTGGTCGGGCACAATGGGGCCAGCTTCACACAACAGCACTGACAGACACCCACACAAAAGCAGCCATCCATTCTCACACAGCCAGCAGAATGAGCCAGTGTGTGGCTGCCCAGGGGCATGTTTGAACAGCACACACACACACACACACACACACACACACACACACACACACTGTGCATAAACAAACACATACAAGCATATACACAAGCATTCACTCAGATGAATGAACTTGGCCAAACAAACACACTTGCAAACATACTCAAAAATATTTTTTAGGCATTTAAGGCCCAAAACAAACCTAGTTATCTTTAATCTATCTATCTATCTATCTATCTATCTATATATCTAACTATCTATCTAACTATCTGAATAAGGAAATGGAACAGAACACAAACTTTAAAATAAAATGTATCTGGACATTATTTTGGATTAAACTACTTGGTTGTAACACAGACAATAAGCATAATTAACATTTTCAAAACTATGAAACTCACCTGTGATTTAACATCTCATAGCTTGTCATATATGAAAAGAAGAGCTTCTGTTTGAAGGTTGACCTTGATATTGACTTTATAAATGTTTCACAACGGTGTTGACAAGAGGGGAAATCTTATAAAAGAGGGATATTATTATTATTATGATCATTATTAGCCTCTGTCAGGACACAGCAGTAATGTTTCATTAAAAGATATGCTACATAGGTGTACATAGTATACATGTACTACATAGAGAGTACAATACTTTCTTTCTTTCTTTTTATTTAAAAGGGTGTTTCATTCATTACAAACTGAAACAAATTTTACTTCCATGTCATTAAACATGGAAAAAAATTACAAACAGATAATGTTTTTAAAGCTTATTTGTTCTTAGACAATTGGATCAATGAAAGGTATTGCTCAAAATCTTTCATAAATTAACATCAGTCATCAACAAAATCAACAAACAAGAAAAGTTATCTGACGCTATCTCTATTTAGTAATGTCTGCCATCTAGTGGACAGAAGTGACAGAAGTGGAAACGTCAAACTGTCGGTCTGTCTTCAGTCATTCTGTCATCGTCATTACGCAAAACAAAATGTAAAACACATATTGTAAAACAAAGCCTGGTAAATAACACCAAACAGTTCTGGCGACATGCGGGCTACTGCAAAGCAAAGACTATCAATGTACAAACAAACCAGTATCAAAGAAATAGAGTCAGCCTACCGGTAGACTTATATTTCAGCAAATCAATAAATCGAGTATTTATTATTATTATTTTTTTAGTAGCGAAATATTGAAGTGAAATTGTCGTAAAAACTGACACTCCACTGCTACTTTCCTTCTGGATCATGCATATAAACACACTTAACTCAAATATAGGCCATGATCCATCAGACTGTATCAGAAATATTAGTTGAAAATCCTTTTTCTTTGTAACTTTAAAGTTAAATAAGTATATAAACGAATTAAGCGTCTGTCGCTGATAAATAAACGCCAAGTACAATTTTCGGGGACTGTCCACTAGATGGCAGTGCAGTGCGATACGGAAGTGATGACGGCATGAGATGTTGAAATATGAAATATAGGACCACATGCATGTCTCATCAGTCCTGCTGTATCTTGAAGAGGAACATCCTGGGCTCTTCATAAACACCAAATATTTCGGGGTTCCGATGACAAACTGCAAAATAAATAAGGAAGTAGATATTATATAAACATATCAGTCTGCAGTATCTTAAATAACATAACTGAGAAACTTTTTTTTGGGCTCATGTATATTTAGAGGAAGTTGGAAAAGTTCAGGAAAAAACATTCCTTTATTATGATAATTCATTGTGCATACAGCATGCAAGTATGTGCACATAAAAAAAAAATGATAATTTTATTTTTTTTTGCTTTGAACTAACCATGTAGTATGTGTGTGTAACCTATGTAAGCAATGCCACTGTACTGAATCTTACGGTTTTTGAGCTTTAATTTCAAGATTTTTAATTTTCAAGATCAGAACCTTTTCTATATATAGCCAGGCTCAACAGCATAAACCCCAATGCATCCACATGCATGCGTTCAATTTATAGGTCAGCGCTGATGAATTCATAAACTACAAGATATGACATTGAGCACCCTCAAAACTTCCTCTGAATAGTGCAATAAGACAGTACAGCACAGAGAAATATCAAAGTTTTATTTTAAAATGTATAATAGAGGAACAGTAGTACAATTGAAAGAGAAGGAAAATGTATTCATTAGAATTCTTGAAAAAAACATAAAAAGAATAACCTGATTTGATTTGTGTTTGAGGTGAGCCCGTGGCCCCGTTTGCATCACTGTAAGAGAGTTGAAAAATACATCTTTGAAACAGCTTTTACAAAATACAGCTGAAAAAACCTTCATCTGTAGTGTTTTTTTTTCTTTTTTGTCTGTTATGTCCATATACAGTATAAAGTCAAAGGAGTACATTCATGTGAATTGAACCGATACACAAACAAAACAAGAAAACCCATAATTTGATGGTGACATGATGGTGAATGTGCACATGTGAACAGAAAGAGTGAAGGCCGGTTATCTATCTATCTATATATCTAACTATCTATCTAACTATCTGAATAAGGAAATGGAACAGAACACAAACTTTAAAATAAAATGTATCTGGACATTATTTTGGATTAAACTACTTGGTTGTAACACAGACAATAAGCATAATTAACATTTTCAAAACTATGAAACTCACCTGTGATTTAACATCTCATAGCTTGTCATATATGAAAAGAAGAGCTTCTGTTTGAAGGTTGACCTTGATATTGACTTTATAAATGTTTCACAACGGTGTTGACAAGAGGGGAAATCTTATAAAAGAGGGATATTATTATTATTATGATCATTATTAGCCTCTGTCAGGACACAGCAGTAATGTTTCATTAAAAGATATGCTACATAGGTGTACATAGTATACATGTACTACATAGAGAGTACAATACTTTCTTTCTTTCTTTTTATTTAAAAGGGTGTTTCATTCATTACAAACTGAAACAAATTTTACTTCCATGTCATTAAACATGGAAAAAAATTACAAACAGATAATGTTTTTAAAGCTTATTTGTTCTTAGACAATTGGATCAATGAAAGGTATTGCTCAAAATCTTTCATAAATTAACATCAGTCATCAACAAACTTCACGATGAAGAAAAGTTATCTGACGCTATCTCTATTTAGTAATGTCTGCCATCTAGTGGACAGAAGTGGGACTGTATGAAACGTCAAACTGTCGGTCTGTCTTCAGTCATTCTGTCATCGTCATTACGCAAAACAAAATGTAAAACACATATTGTAAAACAAAGCCTGGTAAATAACACCAAACAGTTCTGGCGACATGCGGGCTACTGCAAAGCAAAGACTATCAATGTACAAACAAACCAGTATCAAAGAAATAGAGTCAGCCTACCGGTAGACTTATATTTCAGCAAATCAATAAATCGAGTATTTATTATTATTATTTTTTTAGTAGCGAAATATTGAAGTGAAATTGTCGTAAAAACTGACACTCCACTGCTACTTTCCTTCTGGATCATGCATATAAACACACTTAACTCAAATATAGGCCATGATCCATCAGACTGTATCAGAAATATTAGTTGAAAATCCTTTTTCTTTGTAACTTTAAAGTTAAATAAGTATATAAACGAATTAAGCGTCTGTCGCTGATAAATAAACGCCAAGTACAATTTTCGGGGACTGTCCACTAGATGGCAGTGCAGTGCGATACGGAAGTGATGACGGCATGAGATGTTGAAATATGAAATATAGGATCACATGCATGTCTCATCAGTCCTGCTGTATCTTGAAGACGAACATCCTGGGCTCTTCATAAACACCAAATATTTCGGGGTTCCGATGACAAACTGCAAAATAAATAAGGAAGTAGATATTATATAAACATATCAGTCTGCAGTATCTTAAATAACATAACTGAGAAACTTTTTTTTGGGCTCATGTATATTTAGAGGAAGTTGGAAAAGTTCAGGAAAAAACATTCCTTTATTATGATAATTCATTGTGCATACAGCATGCAAGTATGTGCACATAAAAAAAAAATGATAATTTTATTTTTTTTTGCTTTGAACTAACCATGTAGTATGTGTGTGTAACCTATGTAAGCAATGCCACTGTACTGAATCTTACGGTTTTTGAGCTTTAATTTCAAGATTTTTAATTTTCAAGATCAGAACCTTTTCTATATATAGCCAGGCTCAACAGCATAAACCCCAATGCATCCACATGCATGCGTTCAATTTATAGGTCAGCGCTGATGAATTCATAAACTACAAGATATGACATTGAGCACCCTCAAAACTTCCTCTGAATAGTGCAATAAGACAGTACAGCACAGAGAAATATCAAAGTTTTATTTTAAAATGTATAATAGAGGAACAGTAGTACAATTGAAAGAGAAGGAAAATGTATTCATTAGAATTCTTGAAAAAAACATAAAAAGAATAACCTGATTTGATTTGTGTTTGAGGTGAGCCCGTGGCCCCGTTTGCATCACTGTAAGAGAGTTGAAAAATACATCTTTGAAACAGCTTTTACAAAATACAGCTGAAAAAACCTTCATCTGTAGTGTTTTTTTTTCTTTTTTGTCTGTTATGTCCATATACAGTATAAAGTCAAAGGAGTACATTCATGTGAATTGAACCGATACACAAACAAAACAAGAAAACCCATAATTTGATGGTGACATGATGGTGAATGTGCACATGTGAACAGAAAGAGTGAAGGCCGGTGAGAACAGTAAAAGCCAGGCTGAGGTTTTAAACCGGTTAACTGCAGCGACGTGCCATCATTTAAATCAACTAATTAAATATCTATCTATATATATATTTTTTTTTCATAATCTTTCATATATATATATAATATCCCTCCCACGGTGATCTGAAGGTAAGCAATACAAACAGGATCTTCTATACAGCTTTTAAAATACACTTTCATCTCGAGTAAAGGGAAAGATAGACGATTTCTGTATCAGTATAGCACTTCAATATATCCACTGCATATGAACAGAAACTCCTGCTCCTAGGAATTAACCCACAAACAATAGTTCTTAAAAAATATGCGCTTAAAATGAAATAAAAAACACAATGAATGAACAAAAGCAAAATAAAACCTCAACAAGAAGGACAAATAAAACAATATATGCATCTAAGGGTAAAGTGAATGATTGATTTTAGAATAAAAACATTTAAATCTGACGACATACACAAGCAAGGATCTACACTAAATATTTACCTGGATTTCTTATACATTATCTTTAACAATTAAACAACGATTTTGGTAGGACAAATAAAAATTAACAGTCTTGATTGCATTTTGGAGTCAATATAGTATATATATCATTAAATAATGAAATGTCAAAAAAATAAAAATAAAAATAAAGCTCCGTATGGAATAAAACACAACAGTTTCAATTTATTTCCATCCAGACCGGCTTTGGGGAAATAAGAAATTATCAAACGCAGAACAGTAAGTGCCTGTCTATGTACTTCCATAGACCTTCCACTCTACATCAGCACAAGCAAAGTGTTTTCCACTCAGCAGACACACGACAAAGTCCAAATAAACGAAACCGAAATGATCACAAATGTTACAGGGGACCAAAACAAATGTTTGGGAGTCTATTGCAAACCACCTCTTTCCATCTGCATTCTTCAAAAACGGTACACAGGTTGTTCAAGTGATTCAAAGTAAGATCAGTACCACGAACCAACTCAGGAGGGTCAACAACATCAGGTTGTTCCATCTTTACAAGTACTGCCAGTAGTTTTAACAACAACAAATGGTATGTGTGTGTGTATGTGCATTTCATAGAAAAGATGTTAAAAACAGAAAAGCATACCTGATAGGCTCCTTAGCACAACAGTGTAAAATACAAAGCTGATTAGTATAACTGAGTTGAGTAGGCTTTACGATTATTAACATCATATACAGCTTGTAGGTCCAGTATTTAAAAATAATAATAAAAATAAAAGCGTTACAGCACCAAACGTTTCTATCATTTGGCAAAATTCAAGCTTTAAGTGAATGTCAAAATGCTTTATAAAGTGTTACTGTGATGCTGTGATTCAAATAAAGCTAGCAATAATATATTCCCCTTATATTTTATCATTTTTTCTTTCTTTCTTTCCTTCTTATATTTCTCTGCTTTGTGTTTTCTCAGCATTTTCAGTAGTTTGTGTCCTGCAAAAAATCTTGGTGTGCGTTCTGCTTGGCACGATCTAACAGCCCCATATAACTTAATCATAAATATGGCTGTGGTTAATTAGAGTCACAAAACAGATTTTTGGTTCCAAGACTTGTGCAGGGAAAAGGAAAATATATAATTTCATGACAACATTTAACTAGAAAGGAAACACACACAAAAAACTCTTCCTGTAGGCGGAATTTCTATAATGCTCTTTCTTTGTTGAGCTCCTCCTCTGAGCAATATACGATCAGGTCTGTCAGGAAGCGCAGTTATGAACTGAAAATAAGTAGACGTACATTAAAAAAAAAAAAATAATAATAATTCTATCATTTTCATAAGACCATAATATCTTTCTTCATAAATTAAATAATTATGATTTCTTTTAATATGATTGGCCTATTATAACTCAGAAACGCTGTACACCCTCATCCCCTACAAAAGAAAAAAAATACATCACAGAAAAACCTGATTTTTTTGTTATATATCATTATACCTCTTTCTCTGACAGGCACACAGCCCAGACTCTGACACATAGAACAATCTTTAAATATTGGAGTCCCTCTCTAACAAATCTACATATATCTTTGTCATAACTTCACGTGCAACAAAGAGGTTTGATAGCACTTTGGAATTGTTGATTGTTTCCCAGCTATTTTTTTTCTTTGCATTTTGATTCGTTTCTCTACCAGGTTATGTCTTAATTAGTCCTTCTCGGGGGTGGCATCCGCATCCCCCTTGCAGTTGGATTGGTCAATCTTATTAGGCTCCTCCCCTTCGGCCTCCATGTCCTCGTCTCCCTCTCCGGCCTCATCAAAGTCTTCGTCGCGGTTGAATTCCAGGTCCTGCGTGCCTTGGTGGGAGTCGGCGCACTCCACGCACACGCCGTAGCGGCGAGAGCCGTGCCGTATGCCCACACTGGCCGCCAACATGAAGATCTTCTTGCATACCATACACTTGTATTTCTTATCCTTTTTGTGTACCTGCAAATGAATGTAATGTACGGGGATATTAGTGAGTGAAGCAAGATATTATATTAGTGAGTATTGTGAGGTGTGAAAACAGTCTGTGGGTGAGTATCACAAAACTTGTAAAGAATGTCTGTCATGCCACCTCAAAATCAAAAGAAATAAAAAAGACATTATATTATGCATTGAACATTCTTAGGAACATTAGAATTAAGCATTTCTGGTCCCCTAGTGTAATTCTAATTAAAATAAAATATATGTATATATAAATTTATTCTATTATATTAAATAATATTATATTATATACTCTCTATGTGTGTGTGTGTGTGTGTGTGTGTGTGTATATATACATATTTAAAATTTATGTAACATACAAAAGATATTTATAGTAGTAAAAAAGATTTATGCATGTGAATGTATATATATATATATATATATATATATATATATATATATATAATTTATAATTTTAGGGGAAATTTGGAATAAAATAAAATTGTCCCAATGCAAAAATTTGTAGTGGTTTAAAATAAGTTATCTTGAAAATAATTATTCTTTAGATGTTAAGGTGAAAGGTTTTTCTGAGATTCACTCGTATACAAAAAGTTGTGTTTCAGTCTTACCAGGGAATGTCTTTTGACGTGTTCTCGGCGAGTGAACAGCTTCCCGCAGATGTCGCAGCTGAAGGAACGCACGCCTGAGTGGATGATCAGGTGTCTCTTTAGTGTTCGTCGGTGCTTGGCAATGTAGTTACAGTGGGGACACTTCAGCTTATTGAGGGTGTTTTCGGGTGCTTCGCCTAGAGAAACCACACGAACAAAAAGATTCTCAGCACTTTTCACACCAGTTCCTGAGATATAAACAATTCAGCATGAGATTTGCCAAGCCAGCAGATGCAGTTCGTCTTGTCAGAGGCAGAATTTTCTCCATTCGTGTTATCAGCTCTAATTGTCAGTTCTGCAACATTGTGACATGCAAAAAGTGGCTTTGTGTGGCTTAGAAAGAAAATTAGCGTGTATAAGTGCCAGTATGTACCCTCAGTATGTATGTCACTCTGGAAAACAAAAATAGTAAAAACATGCTATGAAAGTGTGCCAGTTGCTATGGAAACCACATGCCAGAAGTCATAACTATATTAGTCTAATGCAATTTTCTACTGATAAACAAGCTCTATAAAAGCAGGAACTCTTTCCTTCTAGCCACCATTCCTCTTCTCAAAACTAACATCCAGAAACAGCCTGATTGTTTATCTGGGAGAAACTACTGTATAGTCGAAATTGCAATCTCTGCTTTTCGCTTCTGAAAAGATTCATCCCAACACTCAAGCTCTCACGAGAGCGGTGTCTTGTGACAATTAGACCAGAGCTGCCTGTACTACAGCTTGTGGGATTGGGGTGGGATCCAGCTTTGTTTGAGCCAAAATGGGCAAAAACAAAAGGGTCGTCAAGCAGGTTGCCAAGGGGGTGACAAGAGCCAGATCGCCTGGGAATTCAATTGAGGCTCTAAACACCACCTTGAGGGCTAAAAAAGGCCTGACAGCAGCTGTGCCATTCGTTTGAGTTGACAGGCTCAAAATTAAAGTTCAGTCTGTTACTACGGGCTTGCTGGTACTTAAAATGGTTAACGATTAACTTCCATCTAATTCTTAATGGCCAGGCCTGAGTCATAAGTCTGCTCAAGGTGAGAACTCGAATTGCGCAAATGGCAAGACTCTTCTCGCTGGGAATCTTACACTAGGCTGGATGAGACCTGCTAGGCCAGATCCGAGAGATTGGTGGTAAATGGGCTCAAGGTTTTAACCGACCCCACACTTTAAGTGCTAAGACTGACCTCAACCCCCCAAGGAAACACTACATTGCCTCTTAAGGCCCGTTCACACCAAGTACGATAACTATAAAGATAACGATAAAGATATAGTTCTAAAAATCGTTCTCAATATTAAAGAATAGCAGAGTCCACACCACAACTATAACGATGAAGACAAAGAGAAATGATATAATTGGAATCACTTTCAAAACGATTTTTCTCCAGCTGATGAACGATAAAAAAATTGACAGCCAATCAGAATCCATCCTGCTGTAACAAGATCAAGAATTTAAAGCGGCAGACGTGCGTGCACTTAGAATAAACAGACAATATCGTTTGCTGGTGTGGACGCTAATATTGTTATCTTTATAGTTATCGTTCTTGGAGTGAACGGGGCTTTAGACCTGAAATATACTCAATTACGCAAGTACATGAATGCTTCTAGCTAGTAGCTACACATCGCTGTTGTCCGAAATGTGTCTAAATGCAAGTACGCAAATGGTGTTTGCAGGCATTAGCATAAACGAAATAACTACATTTGAAGAAAACAATCCCTCCCTTTGAGAACTGACATTAGCGTTTGCAACACACTGGTGAGGTATTCGAAGTTGCTGTACTTTCCAGGCTTAAGGCCCATTCACAACAAGGACGATAATTATAACTACAAAGATATAGGCTAGGATATAGGATATAAAATCCTTCTAAATTTTAAAGGAATAGCACAGTTGATAACGATAGAGGAATGATATGCGCTGGAGTCTCTTTTAGAATATTTTTTTCCAGCTGATGAACAATATACAGGTGCATCTCAATAAATTAGAATGTCGTGGAAAAGTTAATTTATTTCAGTAATTCAACTC